TTCAACGATTCTTTCTGACGTCTGATTTTAGCCCAGAGGTCGACCGCATCGGAGATTTTTGTGATGTTGGCGAAGTGTGCTGTGTTCGGAATGCCCAGACAACGCATGCCGTGTGAGTGACGCCATTCCTTAAAATCAAATTTTGTTCGAATTCCAAAAACAAAACGCAAACGCTCTCATCAAAAATCAAACGCAGAAGGGTTGAGTTGAGTTGAGTCGAATCACAGCCTCAAAATCAAAAAACTGAAACTTTTTCAGATGCATCTGATAAATTCCCAACAAATGCAAGTAACTAAACACGCATCGCAAAACATCCACTCACATTGAAGTGTCGTTGGAATGCTTTCGGTCCTTTATATACCTGCCCTCCGCAAATCTCACACGGATACGAAATGTTCAATCCGTGCAGTTTATACAACCAGTACGGTATCGGTTTACCGTCCCAACCCAGCGGGAGATTCTTCGGGTTATACGGCACCCCGTCCTCATCGAACTCCTCGTCCGAGATCTCTGCTTCGGCCGTTTCTTCCTCCTCGACGTTCTCTGAGGCTCCTCGAGCTTGTTTCCGTTCCACATTCTCTCGCGTCGACTCTCTTTCGTCGTTCAGTATCGCTGACAACCTGCAAATGTAAACCTATTAAAGCCTGGATCAACCACAAAATATAAACCTGACAATCCAATAATTATTATCCACTCGAGATAATGATACTTGTAAATACGAACCGTTGTATATGCGCCTCATTGCGTGCCGTTTCGCGATATTTGATACGTTCCCGAATGTCCACATCCTTCTTCTTTGCCAGAACACTCAATTCCAAATCACTTAGCTTATGTCCTTTCGTCGCAAACAGTCTTTCTGCACGCTCTTTCAATGTTCTGAAATACACTTTGATATCAGAGCATCTGAACATGTAGGTGAGTTCAAATAAATTACCAAAAAAGTACCTAGATAGTGCAAAAATCATTGTTGTGACTTGTGAAAAATATGATGACATATTTCTATGCGAAATAATAACGATAATAATAATAACAAAAATATACCCTCCACATTTCAATCCCAGAGCGATAAGTGCCGACTTGAGTCTGTCCAGGCCTAGCTGCTCCAAATCAGCAGCAGATTCAAACGATGACAGGTCCAGAAATGCACCCGAATGTGCCAAAGCTCCGTGTTGCTCCCCGCTCCAACCAGGCACAACTCCTTAATTTATTTATTATCATACACATCACTAACAACAACAAATAAATCAATCAAATCAGTGCAAAATCCCAACCATCTTCCCATTTCTTCTCGAACTCCTTATTGACCTTCTCGAACTCCTCATCCAGATCCATCAACGGTCTTGTACGTTTGATGAAATCGGTCAGATACTCTTTCAGTGCACTCAAGTATTCTCGATACGTTCCCGAATTCTTTGATCGCGTTGAAATGTCCGTGAACTTATCGAAACTCATCAAATATGACATATAATCCATTCGCTGAATCAATTATAATCACAATAGCAATCATTAAATGCAACAATAAACTGTTTAATAAAATAAAACAATAACAATAATCAAATAATACTAACCTTGACTCCCTTAACATTCAAATACTTATCGAATATCGTGTGCATATCCAAGAATCTCCCATAAGACTCCTCATCGGTAAACTCAATCATATCCTTCTCTGCCGTTTCGATATCTTCAATTGCCTCATTCATCTTTTGAAATTCCAAACTCAACGGAACGGCTATCTGCAAAACAAACATTGTTAATAAGTTGTAATAACTAATCAAATAAAGAAGTCCTACCTCATCAGGATTACGTCGATGCGCATCCTTGAGGGACTTGAAACGTGAGTAGAATTCAGCGAACTCATTCGGACCAGCAATGGCTCGTAACTCTTTCTCCCTTGCTTTATCCTCGTCTTCGTATAGCAAACGAAGCTTTTTGGTCACTACATCATATCTCTGCAATTAATAATCAACTCAAACGTTCAGTAAATAAATAATGAAGATCAGTCAAACAACCGAACCAATGTCAACATAACTTACATCGACGAGATTCTTCAAACGATGCTCACCATTGATTTTTTCTTTGTGCTGAA